AGTCAATGAAAGTCTTAGACTGGATTGACTGGATTAGACTGGATTGGAAAGTCTTAGACTAGATTGAAAAGTCTGACTGGATTGGAAAGTCTTAGACTGGATTGGAAAGTCTTAGACTGGATTGGAAAGTCTTAGACTGGATTGGAAAGTCTTAGACTGGATTGGAAAGTCTTAGACTGGATTGGAAAGTCTTAGACTGGATTGAAAAGTCTTAGACTGGATTGGAAAATTGAATTAGAAATTTCATGACTCGAATGAATGTAATGCATCAGTTGAAATGTATTTTAGATTTAAAATGTCAAGAAATAAATGTTAAAAAAAAGGAATTAAAACCACAACAGTTTTAGGACTTTAAACTAGTTAGTTTCATATTACCTTAATCTAGCTTATATATTATTATAGAATTATTGATTTTTACTGTGGTTGGGGAAACTAAAGCTGAATTATGCCAAAAACAGCAATTTTCTTCCAAGTTTTAAATGTTTAAAAATAACTATTTTTTTTTTCCATTATTAAGTTACAATTTTTATCTTTTTTTTAAATAATATTGAAAAATTATTAGTTTGCAATAATTTTCAAAACTATGATAAAATTTTGTATATAATTTGACAAACTTTAGTCTTAAGTTTAGCTAGAGAATGGGATTTGTGTTAACATTAAATTGGGAATTTCAATTTTATGAGCATTTGGAAATATTGCGTATTATGGACCTCACAGGGCTGGCTAACACCTTGTATGTATGTATGTATGTATGCATGTATGTATGTATGTATGTATGTATGTATGTATGTATGTATGTATGTATGTATGTATGTATGTATGTATGTATGTATGTATGTATGTATGTATCTATGTATGTAAATACATATGTATCTACTATAGTGTATATAGATAACAAATTGTTACTAGTTTTTTCAATCTTTATAGCAAAAGAAGAAAAAAACAAAGAATAATAAAAAAAAGTTTATTGTCTCATGCTAAACCCTCAGTTGATTACCTTATAGCTTGCTGCTTTACGACAGCAAGCTATAAGATAATAAATGTATATACTGAGACCTCCAGCAGTAGGCTATTTCAGTGTTACATCAGAGATGTTATCTAAACACGCATTTATAGTTTTTGTTTAAAGCATAACGGTTGACAGATTTTGGTTCTAATTTTCAAACAATGCAAACAATTGAAATAATAAAAAATTGGTTTGTTTGTTGATATTCTTTGCAACAATAACAAAGTAAATCAAAGATTTTTAAATCTCCATATTACTTGGTGCATCTTTATTCATCTAATAAAATCTGTTAATAATAATTGATTAACAGAAGAATGTCAGAAACTATTTTTTACTTATGAAGGTGTTTCAAGAACTGTAAAATGGTAAAATCTTAACAACTTTTTCAATTTGGAAAAGAAAATGTTCAATACAATCTACTATATAAAGGAAAAGCTTTTCTAATAAGGAAAAGATCTTGATAAATTGTTAAATATTCAAGTCCCTGCATGTATCATGCATTATTTGTACCCTGCATGTACCATGTACCCTGTATTACCATGCATTATTTGTTTCTCTTTTGGACAGTGGCTTTGTTTGTCAAGGTTCATGTTTTGAAGTTAAAGTTAAAGTTAAAGTTAAAGTTTGAAGTTGAAGTTAAAGCTTTGTTTGTTAAGATTTATCTTTTGAATTTATTTGTATATATTTTTAACATTTTTTATGCACTAGAGTTTTATAGTAAAAATGTGACAACTAACTTTTTTTTTAGTTTCTTTAAAAACCTCAACCATCTTTGATGTTGCTTATAGATGATCATTGTTGTGTTGATAATAAGGTTGATAATCTTATCATTGTTGTGTTGATGATAATAAGGTTGATAATCTTATCATTGTTGTGTTGATGATAATAAGGTTGATAATCTTATCATTGTTGTGTTGATGGCAATAAGGTTAATAATCTTATCATTGTTGTGTTGATGATAATAAGGTTAATAATCTTATCATTGTTGTGTTGATGATAATAAGGTTGATAATCTTATCATTGTTGTGTTGATGATAATAAGGTTGAAAATCTTATCATTGTTATGTTGATATAATAAGGTTGAAAATAAAAATGAAATTGATTATGATAGTAATATGGCAATATATGATTTTTTATTTTATAATAATGTTATTATTATTATTTAGGGGATTTCTTTGAATCAGTTTAAATCTTTCCATAAATTTTTGAGCAACTTTGAAGATTTTGTGATTGTTGTGAACATGACTAACACCTTGAACCATCCTATTGATAAAGGTAAATTTTTTTTTAAAGTATAATATATATGCATGTGTGTGTGTGGGTGTATATATATTAGGGTAGGTTGATTTTGGTATGTAAGTACTGCTAAACAATATAAAGTTAAATATTCATGTGTTAGTAACAAAAATAGCTAACTTAAGTGTTTTAACTGAATATTTTTTTGCTGAACTTCGATAGAGTTAATGGCTTTGCATGCTTTGTAAACTACTTTTTGTTGTTTTATTAAATTTATTTTTTTTTCATTTTTATTAAATTTATTTTTCTTCATTTTTTAAAGCGCGCATGTATTATACTTTGTTTGTAAACAATATTTAACTTCATAGTTTCGAAATCTTTAGTGTCTCTGACTGCTTTTAACTTATCATTTTAAACTTTTAACTTATCATTTAAAATCAAATTCATAAACGGCTAATAAATATTACTTAAAATATACTTTTTAGTTTGGCCAAGTCTATATAAATAGATTTAGATGCTTAATTGGTTTATATTTTATAAATATTACTTTTGCAGAACGATATAATGGAGTTAAAATAGATTAAAGTGAACAATAAGCAAGTTTTACTAATTAGTATAAATATTATTATCAAGTAAGTTGTTATTTTGTGCAAAACTTAAATAGTTTAGTATTTTAACAAAGTGCTATTAATTTATTGTAAATAATTAATGTGTCTTGTAATAATAATAATAATAATAATAATAATAATAATAATAATAATAATATGAACAAAGTATTTAGTTTTAGAAAATAAAAAATGCCAAAAATTAAAAAAAGGCCGTATCTGCTTGTTGCTGTTCATTGGATATTGTATCATGTAACAATGTTTATATAAACTGTAAAAAAGAAGAATGCAAAATGGAACACATCGTTTGCATATGTCCTAAAGAAGCAAAAGGCCCAATAGAAGAAAGAGCTTATATACGAAACTAGCATATATAAACAGGATCAAAAGGGCTATTTCAGATGTCTTCGGTAGATACATCTGCTTTAAAGCACAACAACAGGATTAAACAGAATGAAGGAAATATGTTACATCACAAACATATTAATAATGAGCTATCAAGTTTATTACCAGATTGCCCAGAATGTATATCTAAAATAATAAAATCTCAGGTATTTTTATTTTTATGGCCTTAAAATTGTTATTTGTTTAGTATATATTTAACACATATTAATAATAAAATCACTTATCATAAATATTTTTAATTTTTTACTTAAGGAACAGGATGAATGGAAACCATGATCTTGTTTATATCGAAATGGAGCCACCAATTACAATTTACAAAAAAAATACAAAAAAGAATTTTCTGACAAAGATATTTACACATTCATTAAAAATAAAGTAACGCCTAATATTCAAGACCTTCCCTCTCATTCCCAGAGCATTCAGAGGTGTGTCAAATTAGTTTCTGAAGCTACTATCACCATATATGGATTTGAAGCCAGGCATAAATCTATTCTAACAAAACTACTTAGCAGAAAAATACGTCAATGGTTTTTGTCAAAAGGATATTATTCTCAGTCATACGATGATTTATTTGCTTAACTTGCTTGTTACATTCTTGAAATAAATTTTTTTAGTTTAATATTGCTTTTTAAATGACTTATTAAATTAATAATGATTTATTGGATTTTACTGAACGTTTAAATAGATAATCGATGTAACATAACATGTAAAAAATTTATACTTAAATATAAATTAGACTTGTGACATTTTTGCTAATAAAATGAAATAAACCGTATCAATAATTTTAAATACAAATATTTGACTTTGATAGTGTGTCAAATTTTTTGACACACTATGGAATAAGTCCATAGTGTGTCAAAAACCACAAGCAAAAAGTTAATGTTTTCAGTACCTTAGCCGTAATGAAATTAAAACAAAAGTGAAAATTAACTACCTTATATATATATATATATATATATATATATATATATATATATATATATATATATATATATATATATATATATATATATATATATATATATGTATATATATATATATATATATATATATATATATATATATATATATATATATATATATATATATATATATATATATATATATATATATATATATATATATATATATATATATGTGTATATATATATATATATATATGTGTGTGATATATATATATATATATATATATATATATATATATATATATATATATATATATATATATATATATATATATATATACATATATATATACATATATATATATATGTATGTATGTATGTATGTATGTATGTATATTACATTAATTTTTTTATATATATAATTAACATAAAGTAAAAAGTTTAAAATAAAATTTTTACTTTATTTATTAAAAAATATTTTTGTTTTAATGAAATTATTGTTACAGAGCTTTTTGCACGTACAGTCAAAATTACAAGTAATGAAGATGTTGATCCTTATGTTATCGATGTTGTGTTTAATTTATTTGATGAAGACGGTAAAAATTTTCTTTAGATAAGAGTTATAGAAGTTTATATTAAACATCTTTTTTATTTTTTTATTTTATTTTTGTAACTTTAATAATTAAAAAAAAAAAATTATTAGGGGATGGCAAACTCAGTCAAAATGAGTTTATTGGAATAATGAAGGACCGGTTGAAGCGTGGATTCGGAGTATGTACATATTTTAAAAATTTTATAAATTTTTAAAATTATTTTTTATTTAATAACTTGGAAAATCAACAAGACCTATATTTGTTCTTTTTGATTAAAAATCAACTGTAGAAGCAGCGCTCGAAATAGCGGCTGATCAACAATCAATGATCGGCTACTTTTTAAAAAATTGACATTTTATCTAGAGGTGTATCGGATACGATATCCGGTCGGATATCCGGTTGAAAATACCGGATAATTTACTATCCGGTATCCGGCCGGATATATACTATATCCGGCCGGATGTACCGGATAATACTAGCACAAAGAGGTTTGAAAAACTATTAAGAATTATTTAATAAATACATTTTTTTAGGGGAGGGTAATTTATCTTTTAAGTAGAAATTTAATTTTGAGAACTCTAAATCAAAATGGTTTACCGACACGCTGCTAAATGGGCTCTAACATGATGTTTTTAAAAGTCTCAGATATGACATTATCAAGCTTTGTGCAAACTCTAAACTTAAGTTTTTATGCTTCCATAGAAAGAAAGTGTTTTGCATCAAAAAATCATGGTAATTAGAGCTTGGGAACAAAAATAACCTTAGAGGTTATTTTCTCAACCACCTATCCCAAATCCAAGGGAAATCATTTAGTTATTTCATTACACTATCTAATACTCTAGCTAAATTCATCAATAGGTTTTAAATTTCATCAATTAATTTATGTTCCAAAGTTATGACCATGTTTAATTTATTACCCCTTCAATTTGGAGAGGGGTAAAAACACAGTCATAACTTTCCAACAATTTTTTTAAGATTTAAAATGATCGAAATTGAGAATTTAAAGAATTTGTTTTGCAAAAAAATTTTTTATCAAAATAATAAAAAAAATTTTTTTTTAATGTTTAAATTTTTTTTTGCTTTTATTATATTTTTTTGAAATTTCATCATAAACTTTTTTTTTTTTTTCTTTTTTGATATTTTGTTATAGATTTTTTCACTCAATAAATTGTCTTTATTTAAAATAAAAATTTTGAAAAATATTTTTGAGTAAAATTCATGAAAAAGATGGCCCAACCATTTACATATTTGCTGCCTGGACCTTGCTCTTACTTTGCATATTTGCCCTCTTGTCCCTACCCTTTATACATACTTGTACACTTTTAGATAATATTTAAACATTTTTAGATAATGTCGCCTCCCATACCTGCATACATACTTTATGAATGCCTCTTAAATTAAATTATTAAATTCAATGAAACAAAATGTTTTAGAAAGTTAATAATACTATCAAAGAACATAACAAATAAAATTTCAACAAATGAGTAAATGCAAAGAGTCATTCTATTTTCCTCCCATTATGGTGAATAAACAAAAGCATTTCTCCTGTTTTAGGCAATAACCTAGATCTCTTTTTCTTATAGATATTACCATATTCTGAGAACAATCTTTCAGAAAATATGGATGATGCAGGAGTGCATAGATGTTTTGAAGCAATTGTTTTTAAAAGAGGGAATCGTTCTTCTTGCATCCAGGTCTTTATTGGACAGAGTTTTCTGTCTACAAGTGGTTCAGAATAAAACTTTTTTATTTCTTTTCTAATCAAAATCTCATTTGATTTTTTCTCTAACTTTAATTTTTTAAAAGGTAATGTTTTTTCAGATGTTGCATTTATAATTTCTTTGAAACATGCTTCAAGAGTGTCTTCTTTTTCAGTATTAATTGAAAAATTTAATTGTGATGGTTTTTCATTTACACTAAAATCTACTTCTTCAGAACAAACAAGAGTTTTTTCAAAGGATAAAATTTCATTTATTAACCAGTACTTAGCCTGTTTTTTGATATCATCCTCAAAGAAAGAAAACTTATATCTTGGATCAATTGAAGTAGCTATGACATAGTACCTATTTTTCAAAATGTTTAAAGACTTCGCATCATTTATTTCAGAAAAAAATCGATTTTTTAAAGAAGTTGTAAGCCGATTCTTTGTTTCTTGAATACTTAAATCAACTTGACATTTTGACATAAATTTCATCAATGAGCACATATTTGGAATTACAGAAGACAAAGTTGTTATTTCTGAACTCATTTCCTGAGTTAATTGGAAAAAAGGCTTTAACAGTTTAATAATGTTTAATATTAATGTCCATGCTAATGTAGAAAAGGGCATTAAATCAGAACGTTCTGCTAAGTATAGTTGAACTGGAATTTTTAACTTGTTTAATCTATCAAGCATAAAATAAGTGCTGTTCCATCTTGTTGGGACATCTTGAACAAGACAAAGAGGGTCGAGATTTTGTTGCAGCTGAATTTGTTTAAAGTTGTTATGCTAGAGATGAATGGTTAAAATGAGTTACAAGTCAACGACATTTTGAAAGAACATCAATTACAATATTTTCACTTATTGAATCTGAAACAACTAATTGAAGTAAATGAATAGTACAATGGATTGCAGGAATTTCAGCTAGGTTACTCCCACTTATCATGTTGCTTGCACCATCTCTTACAAGAATATGTCGTCTTTCAGCTTCAATTTTCCAGCTATCCCACATACTTTCTAACTTTTTGGATATGTTTATTCCAGTATGGCTTTCAGAAAAATGAGAAGCATGTAATACCACATCAAATCTATTAAAATCTTTATCGATGGAGTGGCTAGACAATGAAATAAATGATTCATGAGAAATTGGGCATGTCCATATATCTGAAGAAAAGCTTATGTAATCTGTTTTTATTAATTTATCAGAAATTTTATTATTTAACTCCATGTAAAGTTGAGGTATTATTGTTTTAGAAAAAAAATTTCTACTTGGCATGCAATATCTGGGTTCTAAATGGTTCATTAAGTTATTAAAACCTGTATCTTCAACTAAAGTAAATGGCTGGTTGTCTAAGGCCATCATCAACCCAATTTTATGATGAATAGTTTGCGACCTAGAGTCATTAATGTTCCATACCTTTTGTGACTTTAAATATTCGTCTATTGAAGTTTGTTTAGAAGTTTCCAAAGCAGTCTCTTTTTTACTGTAGTACTAGTTGAAAAAAATTCTGGTGTGATTTTATTGACAGCCTGAGCTTTTCTTTTCTGTTCATTTTTATTTCGTTCTATATGGTATTCTTTTGGGTGAATTATTTTGATGTGGTTATGCAGAGGTGTTGTGCTAAAACATTTTTGCCCAGCCTCCATAGTTCCACGTTTAATCATTTTTTTACAGATATTACAGTTTGCATACACATCACTTGCATCATTTATTTTATACAATGACCAGATAAAGCTCTGCATTATTATGTTTGTCTGAAATATAAAGTTAAACGTGTTCACAATTGACATTAAATATTTAACTATTTTAGTATAATAGTTAAATATTTAATAAATATCTTGGTATCAAATGTATGTGTATAATAATTATACACATACATTTGATACCAAGATATTTATCTGTATTATACAGATGGTAATTTTGATATCTATACAGTGTATAAATACTACATTGAAATTAATATTGCATTGTTAATTTTCAATGTAAACATTGTTAGATTCCAAATGCATTGTTACATTGTAAAGAAAACAATAAAAAAACATAACAAAAAAATTAAAGTAATAATTCATAGTTTGGAAATTTAGATAGCAACCTAGTTTTAAAGTTATTGCTACGTAATAAATTGTTAAGAAATTTTCAAACTACAATAAAAACAGATAATCCAATTATGCAGACAGACATGCAAAATGTAATACAATTTTTTTTTTTGTGGATTTACACACTATTTTGCACATTCCCAATTTGACTAAAATCAAACATCAAAACTAAATCCTATCCTACTTTTCAACATATCCGGTATATCCGACCGGATATGAAATTTTAAATCCGGCATATCCGTATCCGGCCGGATACATAAAATGCTATATCCGGTACACCTCTAATTTTATCGCCCAAAATTTAACCTGTCCGATCAAATTTATCGGCAGTATTTGTTTGTCAAACTTTAATAATAATTAATAAAAAAAACGTTTGAAATTTTTGATGTTAATTTAATATTTTTAACAAAAAGTTAAAAATATTAAAATAACATCAAAATTATATTAAAATGAACTAAATTTTAAATTTAGTTCATTTTAATTTAATAAAAAAATAACTTGTTTAAATTTTAAATAAAATAATAATAATAAAAGAAAAACAGCAAGTATTATTTTATTTCTAAATAAAATAAAATTGCAAAACAAACGTTTTACTTATTTTCTGAATAAAGTAATTAAAATATTTATATTTTATTTTAAGCGAACATTTTTAAATAAAATACTTTTAAAAAAAAATTAAATTATCTTATTTTAATTCAAATAAAATAATTAAAATAAATACGGCAAAACTAATGTTAATTTAAATTCTAAACAAAATAATTAAAATAAAACAGCAATGTTTTATTTATACTTAAGAAAAAACATTTGAAAAGAAATACAGAAAAACGGACGTTTATTTAAGTTTTAAATAAACAAATTTAAAAAAAACAAAAACGGAAAAACAAACGATTTATTAAAGTTCTAAACTATATAATTAAATTTAAAACGGCAATAGGAATTCGATTATGTAAGGTAAAAAAAATGCACTTTAAATTTTATTAAAATTTACTGAGAAATTGAGTTGGTCTAAAAAATGATTTGATAGTCTGGTTTTTAATTTTTTTTATTTCAGCCGTTCAATGTTGATCAGCAACCATTTAATAATTATTTCGAGCGTTGCAGAAGACGATAATACTTTTATGCATAGGTTTTTATAAGTTTTGAATACATCTATCACATTTGCATTTAAAACTTTTGACAGAGACAAATGTTATATTATTGGAATATTCAGCAACATTTTTATTTTTTTTTCCTCTTTTATGGACCCAAGAGAAATGCACATTGTAAATTATAGTTATAATATTATCTTCTGTTGCCATTACATTTTGTCCGTTTAATATTATTGCAACAAGGTGCGAGTTTTATTTCTTAAAACAAGAAATATATTTGTTATTTTAAGAAAAATATTTCCTAATAAGAAATGTGATTTTGCTGTTTACATATTATTACAGACAAGGAGCAAACTCCCATTATTTATGTGTTTATATTTATCACAAATAAATATGCTTTGCAAAAAATTGCGATGATTGGAGTCTAAAACTAAAGAAACCCTAAAATTTTATCAACACCTGCTCTAAACGTGAGAGCAACAAGTTTATAAAATATTTTTCATACTATTTATAATTAAATTTATTTTTATTGCATTATCTTTTTCTGAATATCCGGAATTCCGGATATTTTTTTCAACTTTTAGTCTTTCCGGTCTTTCAAAAAGTCTTCCGTAAATGCAAGTTGAAATAAATATTTATGTTTTTAATTTTTTTTAATCATTAATAGTCATAGAGAAAGAGTTTCGATAAAATTGAGAAAGCCATTAGTTCAAAGTTAAATTAAGACAAATATGAGGGGAAAAATTTCCGTATTCCTTTTTCTTTTTTTTTTGCAATATGTTTTTTTAATTTTTTAAATATGATCTAGATAATCTCTGCTATTGATAAATTTTAAATTTCATAATCCTTTAGCGTTCAAAGATTTTGACCATGTTAATTTTGAATCCCACTCAAGAAGAGGGGGTTACATTAATGAAATTTTTTTGATTTAAAGAATACAGTTTAAAATTATATTCTTTATTCCGTTTGAAAGATTAAGAAAAGTTGCAAAAATGTCATGTCTATTTTTTCCATCATCGTATCGTGAAACAATAGTATACACCCGTTTCTACAACATCTTTACTAACAAATGTGATTATAGATACCTTAGACCATATAAATGAATTGAGTCTTTCATTTGAACATTATTTTTTACCACACAGTCTATAAATTGGGTTCTTTATACCAAACTGTTTAAAGCTGCCTCAGCTGATTCCATTGACCTGTTGATTTTCTCTGGTTAATTTTGCAGTGATGACTAATTTTCAAATGATTCTAATCATTTGAGGGAGAACTGTAATTACAATAAAGTAGCCTTCTCGACTGTAGTGGTCCTGTCGACCTTGAGGTAAATATCATTTAAAAAAGTATATGGCTATGTTGTGTATTCATAAACTTGAAGAAAATCCACACATTTTTGACAAAATTTAAAACCGGGTACAAATAAGTGTTTTATTTAAATTAAGATTGTTTATTAATATAAAAACATTTTGGTGACCTTCAGGAATATTTGGAACTAAAGCTTGTAAAAAAAAAGTTTTTACAGAACCTCTTTATTTTTTGAGTTTAGAAGTTCCTCATAAGTACTCTTTGTTCTTTTGTCTTCGCAATTTGACAATCTCTAAATCTTTCTCACACAATCTAGCAGTAGGTTCAAACAAGGCTAAAATATCTAAAATAGAAAAATTATTATTTTTACAAAAGTAATCTAAAATATAAAAATTTCTATTTTTGCAAAATTACTGGGAATGCTTTTTTTTAAGATTTGCTCGTATGCAAGTTTTTCCTTTAGGTTCTTTTTAAAATAAAATTTATCTAAGTTAATTAAAGTTAATCGATGGTGTAATTCATAAAGTTCTTTAGGTAGCTGCATTATTTTTTTGTTGGACATAATAGGATTTAATTGAATTCATACTAAATCAATCAAAGTGATCTATCTAGTTCTCTTTTTAATGGGTCCTAATGATACTTATAAAGGTTTTGCACCTGTCGCAAGTTTAATTCTATTTTATTCGTGTTCATCTTTCCTCAGATAAATGTAGAAGCAACCTGAAATTTTTCTAATATTTTTACTGTTAACATTTTATTTCCACGTTTTTGTTTCTTTCCGTTGTTTGAAAAGCAAGGTCTACACATTTTTCATGGGTTACACTCGACTTGGAAAAGTTACAACTTCCTCTTGTTTTGGTTTTACCGCATAAACTGATTTTGAAAATTTTACAGTAAAAAGTAAAAAATTTTCCGGTTAAGGCTGTAACAATGGTTTAAGCCCAGTCTATCATTAAATCTGGCAGAAAGTTTTATTTTGACGTATATTTTACATTTATCGAGTTGATTTTTTGTATCATTGCTAATATAGCAAAAGTGGACACAATTTCTCTTTTATCGCTTTAACATTTAATAGTCTTTATGTTTTGTGCGCACAATAATAACAAACCTTCTTTCGGTTTGTGTCATAATTACACTCCTTTTTTTTTGAATGAGACAATAAGTTTTTTTATAACTTGACCATTCTCATTTATAAATTTATCAATTCATAATTATTTTTTTTGTCATTTTAGCTTTTTGGCTATGCTTTCTTTAAATGCAATTATATATTCTTTTGCTAATTATTGTTATGTAAAAAGTAAAAGTAATGTCAAAAATATAAGTTTATTATAAATATAGAAACTTAATTTACTTAAAATTATATATTTTTTTACATAAATTTTTTTGTAGAAGTTTCCCAACCCGACTGGAATTGATGGCTTTAAGAATTGCTTGAGGAAAGAGATGTTTAAACCCTTTGAATGAGTCCGTTGAATAAATGTTTAATGGAGTTTTTGATTTAATAGGTCGCCAAAGACATTAATACCAAGTCGTTTCTACGAATGAAGAAATAATTTTATATTTATTGTTTTGGCTATGAGTAAATAAGTAATTGTCATTTGTTATTTCCTAAAACTAATTGGGCAAAACAAAGTCGGCCTGAAAAGAACTTTTTCAAGGTGACTAAAAAATTTCTAAACAAAATCTTGTAAATGTTGCGACAGCAGGTGTTTAATAAAATGTTTAATAAAATAAAAATTTCCTAAAAATTAAGTTCAACTTAAGTTTTGTCTGATTATGTAATTGTTATTTGTTTAATTAATTAATTGTAATTACATAGATTTTTTTTTTAACAAATTTTATATTTATACTTTTTTATTATTTATTTTTACAAGTTGTTTTAAAATTGTTTTATTAAAGTTCTAATAATTATTTAGAATGGTATTTATAAAAGATAAAAAATATCTAAGGTATTAAAACAATTTTAATTTTTTGATTTAAGCTTGATTAATGTATATATATATATATATATATATATATATATATATATATATATATATATATATATATATATATATATATATATATATATATATATATATATATAAGGGAGTCCCTTATTTTTCAAAGTTTTTATTTTCTAAAGCATAGGTCTTGTTCATATTTTTTTCATTTGCTTCTTAAACACTCAAAAATAAATTTTTACCTTAATTAGAGTACGATAACCCGTGCCGACTAGCATCGAACCATGTTCATACAAGTTACGCAACAGTTGCGCTTACTCGCGTTATTTGTTAAAAGGGTAAAAATGCTCAAAGTGGTTTTTACAATGACAAAAAGTTAATAAATGAAAATAGATAATTATTATCTTGATAAATCAATACCAATTGATAATAGTAAATAGATAATAATTATCTACTTACAATAATTGTAAATAGATAATATTTAAATATAATATCTTACCAGTTATAAATAAACCAACTAGGGTAACTAAAAGTTTGGCAACTGCAATCGATAATATCTTTATTAACAATTTTATAGAAACGTCATTTGAGACAGGCATTTTTAAAACTGATATTAGTGATCACTTCCCAATATACGTTAAAATAAATACTTTCAAAGCCCCATCCAACGGGGATCCCAAAGTTATAACTCTGAAAAAACGCGACCTATCAGAAGTTTATAAAGACCTATCAGAAGTTAATAAGAATAATCTTTCCGATAAACTAAAGCAAGAGACGTGGAATCAAGTTTTTAATTGTGATAATACAAATAAAGCATTTAATATTTTCTTAAACACATTTCTTGACATTTGTAACGAAACGTGCCCGTATGAATTCAAAATAACTAAAAAAAAAAACAATATTGAATCCTTGGATGGATAAAACTCTTATAAAATGTTCAAGAAATAAACAAAAACTTTATAATAAATTTTTAAAAAACAGAACTGAAGTTAATGTAAAAAGTTACAAAAAATATAAACGCTTTTACGAAAATCTTCTCAAGAAAGCTAAAAAAACATATAGTAAAGAAATTACAAAAAACAAATTCGATGTGAAAAAAACATGGGATTTAATTAACGATATAATGGGAAGAAAGAAAACAAATACGGCTATACTACCTCAAATAATAAACATCAATAAAACTGATATCTATTGTCCATTACAAATTTCAAATGAGTTAAATAAATATTTTACAAACATTGGCCCTAACCTTGCTTTAAAAATCATAACTAAACCAAATTCTTTTCAAAAATATCTTAAATCTTTAAATGGCGCGATACTGCAAGATCGCAAATTTTCTCATGAAGAGTACGAAATTGCTTTTTCTTTTTTAAAAAAGAATAAATCATCTGGTTTCGATGATGTTTCTAGTAATATAGTTATTTCAAACAAAAAAATACATCTCAAAACCTTTGTTCCATATTATAAAACTTTCAATAAAAAAAGGAATTTTTCCTGAAGCATTAAAGTTGGCAAAAGTGTCCAATTTACAAAAATAATGATCAATCTGAAATCTCTAATTATAGACCTGTACTTTCTGTATTTTCAAAAATATTTGAACGTGTAATTTAAAATAGAATCTATAACCATTTTAATGAAAATAATTTTATTTACACAAAATAGTTTGGTTTTAGGAAAAAAACATTTAACAGAACACGCAATAATTGAAATAGTAGACCAAATTACTAAAGGATTAGCTTCACTCTAGGATTATTTATTAACCTATCAAAAGCATTTGATGCGGTTGATCACCTAATTCTTTTGGAAAAAATAAAACACTACGGAGTGATAAATAAAACCTATGATTGGTTAAAAAGCTACCTCACTGAGAGAAAACAATATGTTATTAGTAAGGAATCAGGTCAACTTAATATTTTGTGTGGAGTTCCACAAGGATCAATTCTTGGTTCATTGCTTTTCTTGATTTATGTAAATGATTTTAATTATGCATCAGCTAAGCTTAACTCAATAATGTTTGCTGACGACACAAATCTCTTCCTTTCAAACTGTGACATTAATCAACTGTATTCTGACATGAACTCTGAACTAATGAATGTAGATGAATGGTTTAAGGCAAACAAACTTTCACTCAATGTAGATAAAACAAAATATACTTTATTTCATAAAAAATCACAAGATGAAAAACTTCCTTTAAAATTACCTGATTTGATTTTAATTAGTAATTAGTAAAAATGATTCAATAAGTTCTTAGCAATTCTTATTGATGAAAATTTATGATGGCTTCCCCATATTAATTATATTCAATCAAACATTAGTAAAACAATTGGTCTGATGTACCGTATTTGTCCATATGTAACATCAGAAAGTCTGAAATTAGTATATTTTGGCCTAATACATTGTTTCATATACTATGCCAATATCACATTGGCTAGTACTCAACCAACAAAACTTAAAAAAATATTTTCTTTACAAAAACGTGCATGCAGACTATATATATATATATATATAAAAAATATGAACATGCCAAACCATTAATGGAAGACTTGAAAATGAGGAATATATATGAAATTAACATTTACCAACACCTAATTTTTATGTATAAATGTAACAACAGCTTGATTCCAAAAAACTTTAATGATAAATTTACAAAAAATGTAAACAAAAAATATTATCTTAGAATAAACCAATGGAATACTTATAAATTGCCAAGAATTAATAGTAAGTATTCTGAATATGAAATATCATACCGCGGACCAAAACTATGGAACACTTTTCAAAAAAACAAAAAATTTAAAAACTGTAAAATCATTAAATTCCTTTAAGTTTATAATAAAAAATGAAATTTTTAAATTAGATAAATAGTTTTCTTGATTTTTCGAAATGAAAATCGAGTTCCATTATTCTTAATTTTTTACTTGTTAATTGGCTCTTATTTTGATATTTAACAGAGTTCCCAATATATTTTAATGAATATTGACAAAACTATATGATGTTATTTACTTTCTTGATTTAATGGAAATATTTATGCAAGCTTTAACCTTTTTATTATATTGGAGATACTATTTTTTTTAACTTGTAAAGCCCACCTAGGGGCTCTATGAAAAGATTGTGGTGACTTTAGTCATCCGTATCTTCTTTGAGCCCCTGCCTGTTTTTTATAAATTCACTTTTTTTGTATGTAAACGTTTCTTTGTAATTATATTTCTTATTATATAAACAGCAAATATATATTAAATGAAAAAAAAAAAAAAAGATAGTTATTATCAATGTTGCAATATTGTTTTAAGCAAATCCGCAGTTTTAGCAAATCTTTAAGCAAACCCGCAGTTTTAGCAAATCTTTAAGCAAACCCGCAGTTTTAGCAAATCTTTAAGCAAATCCGCAGTTTTAGCAAATCTTTAAGCAAACCCGCAGTTTTAGCAAATCTTTAAGCAAACCCGCAGTTTCAGCAAATCTTTAAGCAAATCCGCAGTTTCAGCAAATCTTTAAGCAAACCCGCAGTTTTAGCAAATCTTTAAGCAAATCCGCAGTTTTAGCAAATCTTTAAGCAAACCCGCAGTTTTAGCAAATCTTTAAGCAAACCCGCAGTTTTAGCAAATCTTTAAGCAAACCCGCAGTTTCAGCAAATCTTTAAGCAAACCCGCAGTTTTAGCAAATCTTTAAGCAAATCCGCAGTTTTAGCAAATCTTTAAGCAAACCCGCAGTTTTAGCAAATCTTTAAGCAAACCCGCAGTTTCAGCAAATCTTTAAGCAAATCCGCAGTTTCAGCAAATCTTTAAGCAAACCCGCAGTTTTAGCAAATCTTTAAGCAAATCCGCAGTTTTAGCAAATCTTTAAGCAAACCCGCAGTTTTAGCAAATCTTTAAGCAAACCCGCAGTTTTAGCAAATCTTTAAGCAAACCCGCAGTTTCAGCAAATCTTTAAGCAAACCCGCAGTTTTAGCAAATCTTTAAGCAAACCCGCAGTTTTAGCAAATCTTTAAGCAAATCCGCAGTTTTAGCAAATCTTTAAGCAAACCCGCAGTTTTAGCAAATCTTTAAGCAAATCCGCAGTTTTAGCAAATCTTTAAGCAAATCCGCAGTTTTAGCAAATCTTTAAGCAAACCCGCAGTTTTAGCAAATCTTTAAGCAAACCCGCAGTTTTAGCAAATCTTTAAGCAAACCCGCAGTTTTAGCAAATCTTTAAGCAAATCCGCAGTTTTAGCAAATCTTTAAGCAAATCCGCAGTTTTAGCAAATCTTTAAGCAAACCCGCAGTTTTAGCAAATCTTTAAGCAAACCCGCAGTTTCAGAAAAATTCAGTTATTCTCATGACTAACACATATTGTTTTTATTTTTAAAAAATGGCAGTAAAATTCGAAAGCCATAAAAAAAAAATTTATCACAAAAAAACAACAACTTAAAATCAAGAGTGTATTGTATTTTGGGAAAAAGCTAGAATCTCTACCAGAGCCTAACTGTGTAAAAAGTAGATCTTCACCGTGTTTAGAGAGAGTTGCAAAAAAAAATCTAAAAATAAAAACAAGATATTTACAGCACCGTGAGGAGAACTTTCGAAACAATTTAGATAATTTTTTTATATAGCACATGCTGATGCTTTGGAACAGATAAAAATAC